TCTTTAATCACAAAGTTACTTTTCTTTTCAACACCTATTATCACCAATATCAAGTTTACTAAGCAACATTGTAGGAAAAAAGTACTTGTCACTACAAATGTGATTATATGATTATATAGTAGGGTGATGAAGAAAACTGAAGAAATGGCCTTATCATTCAAGTGAAGAATAAATAATTTTTAAAAACCACAATTCTCGAGATGCTCTAGTTGAAGAAATAAAATAGGTTCTGAATTGTGCCAACGGTGACCTCAATTCTTTGCTTGACTTTGTAATAAGACTGATATTAAAACATGAAATAAGTATTTTAAGAAATCACAAAACCTTTAAAGCTTTCAAACTATTTTGTTTCAAGTGTTCTTATACCAAGAGTCACAACAGGAAGAAAGGTATAGATGCCATCAAGTTAGATTACCCGAAAAACTCCACCTATTTTACTTTATTTAATGTGACACATAAAGAAAACACTGCACAAATATCTGTCTTTAATTTCTCGAGTGTAAAAAAAGAAATATATTGTGTCTGGCAGAATGAAACAGTTGAAATAGCCTGGGTGCATAAAAAAAAAAAAAAAAGAGGGGGAAAAGAAATCAGATGCGAACAATGAGCCTTCAAAGCCACTCCAACAGTAAGGATAAATAATTTAATAAACTCAACTTCATATTCTTTTTATCTCCCCGGATAATAAGCACATATTTAAAAAAATAAAACTTTAAATTCATGAATACTTGTGAATAGACTAGCAGCCAGAAGATAATGAAAACACACAAAACAATATGTATGTGAGCACTTAACGTGTATGCATATCCTCTAGCACATACCTTTTTCCAGATGGAAGGTTACAACTGGTGAAATTTATGAACATGCAGTTCAAATTTAAATTAGGGTTTTTAAAAAACACATAAACCTTGCATACCTGCATTTCTCAACATAACAGAGTTTTTCTTTAAACCCAATAAGACTATTTATGTACTACTTTGTACATACTATATACGTAAGCAGGTCTACAGAAGGGGGGATAAGTTATGAGATAGTACTTCATGAAAAGTTGTTTTGCCATTGTTATTTTGAATGCTTTGAAGTGTTAAGGATCACAATATTTAATTATTTTATAGTAATTAAAACTGCTAACATTTATGATAATTATGTGCTTGTGGTTTTTTTTTTTTTTGACAAAATTTTAACCAATACATTTTAAATCAAGGCTGCCTTGTAAACTAAATGAATGAAATTAGTTAGACCTTAAAATTCTAAATACCATTCAAATGTAAGCATCTCAAACTAGCACCAAATCATGAGCTTCTTGGAGTTTTTCTGCCCTTCATTTAGGTCAGTTTTCTTCAATTATCATTCTATTATTAGCTCATGTCGAGGATGCCTGCATGCATACCACTGAAAACAATTAAGCATTTACATCCTAAAGCACGGGACACACAAGCTTTTATTCTAGTACTGAGATTACATTAATAGCAAAAAATAAATAAATAACATAAATAGAGTTCTTTTATAAAATAGTTTTCACTTAAGTAAATAAATGCATTTTAGCCATCTCTATGTATTACATAATCGTATGAAATATGGTCTTCAAAAAGTTCACAGAAAAATTCGTATTATCTTTTAATTCTATTTTTCCACGAACTTTTTGAAGTAAGTTTGTACTTTGATAGGTCAAATTATATTTCAAATAAATACACTATAAAATAGTTAAATAAGTTGCTCCCCGAGAACAAATCTATCTCCTAAACCTAGATTTAAAGAGGTTGAGTTACACAAAAAATACAGTATTATTTTTAATTCCTTTCCACACACTCAGAATAATTTTCCGTCCAACAATGAGGGGTGCCTAAGGTCACTGCAAGGATTCAGCTACAGAAGGCAATTCATTGCACGTGCTCAGTGCCACAGAAAATCACTGTGCTGCAACAGCACTTGCACTTGCACTGGAGTATTATTCTAGGGCGCCCAGTTCACCCACAGAGATAACGGCGGACGGGTGCATCCTACGTTGTGTAAATCACTATCAGCTCCGGAGAGGACGGCTGCTTAAGGAAGCAGCTCAGAAAACACAGTCCTGGCGCCCTTGAAATCCAATGACTTCACTTTCCTGGAACACTCTGGAACTAATGAGTTTCTTGGTCCTTTTCTCACTATGCATTCTTCTTTCTCAAAGTGCAAATCGTTAGAGAAAAGGCCCCGGTTGCACCAATTAGTTTGCACAAAGTGCCTCGGTGTTTAGCTTCGCTTTAACTCAATTAAGCCACACAGTGAGTCCCGAAGATGCGCCACCTGCGCGCCTGGCTCCAGGGCGGCCCGGCCGGCGCCCCTCGCGGGCCCGCGTCCCTCGTGTTAGACCCACTGGGGCGGCCGCGCCACCAACCCCTCGAACAGCCCCGGGGCCTCCGACTCCCCGGCTGCTTCACGTCCTCGGCAAACGAGGTGTTTGCAGGTGGCACAAGAAGACCAGGGCCGAGCATCTCTGGCCTGAACCCGAGGGAGAGTGCCAGGGCTCGGGGACCGCGGCGTGCGACGAAGCAGCGCCGGGCTCGGCTGCGGCCAGGGCTGAGGGGTGCGTGGGCACAGCGTGGAGCAGACGTGGAGAAAGCCGCCACACCAAGCACGGTTTTAAAATGAGCCGCAAGCACCAGTAGTGCCTATGGGACAGCGAGCAGGGAGAGGAAGGCGGGAGGGCCGGGAGTGCGGGGCAGCGGAAGAGAGGTGGCGAGCGGGTGGCCTTCGGGGACCCGAGCTGGGTGAGGGCAGAGGTGGCGTTTCCCCAGAGACCACTGCAGGTCTCCTTCGCCGTCGCGGCCGCGGTCCTGCGGCTCTGATTTGCATCCTCTTCCTCCTCTTCCTACTGCCAAAAAGTAGCAGTGCGTTCACCCGCGACGCAGGCGAAGTGGGGAGGGGCTTTTCGGGTGCTGCTAGTCCTTGCTCTTAAAGGAATGGAAGGTTCTCGGGGGAACAGAGTAGATGGATGCTACGCGCCCCAAATGGAATGTACTATTTTAAGCTAAATCGGAATCTAGCCCTTTTGGATAAGGAGAAAGTAAAAAAAAAGGTGGCTATGTGATGCTGTACCTGCGCGAAACAAGCGAAATCCCAAGAACCGAAAAACCCCACAAAAACCAACAAAAACCCACAAACGACAGCACAAAACAAACCCAAAACTTGAGTATAAAGTGGGAGCCCTGAACAAGAGCTTGCTAAAAATGGCTCTGAAAGAAAGTGCCTACGAACCTGTTACCCGGATTTAAAGGATTTCGCTGGAAATATTCTTAATTTGAAATAGAGAGCACCTAAATTAAAGGTAGGCAATTAAAAATCCATTTAGGTTTTAAAACCACTACATAACCCCTAAGTAGTATTTCTTTAGTTTCCTGTACATGTAGGACACAATTGGTGCCACCAGACAATGTTCTACATAAACCCATCTGCCCCTCCAGTTTTAAGGTTCCAAACTTTAGAAATGTTATTTCTTTCGAATTTTTCCAAAATTATGTTTAAATACACAAAAACCCTAGGGGACTGTAAATTAATTTTCTTTGAAAATATTAACCATTTTCCCTTAATCAAAATCATTTGAAATACTATAAAGTTAGAAGTCTACAGTCAGGTCACCACTGAGGACACTTAAGATAGGCAATACATCCTTAATTAATACATGTGTAAACAACCCAGGAGCCCTAAACCTTCGAACTTTCAGGATAATTATCTGTAAGTAGAGATATGGTCTCTCCTGAATTTCATGAATTCAGCCCCCCCCCAGTATGAAAGCACACTAAAATAATCTCTCAATCCTGGAGATAATATATTTTGCAAATATTTCTACAAGTGCATATACAGTTTAGTATCCTGCTTGTAATGCTGGGCAGGTCTACCAAAGTGCAAAGAGGACTGCAGATGGAGGGAAGGGATATATTACACATTTTAAAAAAACATCCTAACTTAAACTGAGATAGAAAATATCTAACACACTCAGCAATAATTTTCAGGTTCCATTAAAAAAGTGCAAATGAGGAAAAAACAGGTTTTAAAAAAGAGCACACTACCTGCATAACGTTTTCTTAAAAAACATTCTAACACACAGGAACATCCACAATGAGAACATCACACAGGTATCACTCCATCTAAAGCCGACTTCCATAAGCCAGCAGTCTGTGCATGAAAGAGCAAACTTTCGACCTGCACTTAAAAAGATCCTGAGGATTAGCGGACATTAATTATCTCACTCTAAATGCAAGTTAGTGACTTTGTTTCAGAAAACCCCGTCTAGTTCACTAACTGATGGATGACCATTAATACACCTGTATTTGCATTTCAGCGGTAAAAAGACAAGCAGGGTTTTCAGCACGGAAGAGAGCCACTTTGCCAAGTCTTTTCAAAACATCAATATGCTTCAAGTAATACCAAAGCTGAGAGATTCCTCTTGATTTCCAAACTGCCTAGGTGGCCTGGGTGGTTTTCTGCCCGCAGCAACCTCCTACCTTTAGTGAGTGTGCCTATATCCACGAGGGGGGATTAATTAGCCGGGCTGGAGCTGAAGGAGGCTGTCGTGACGAGCCCAGTGGCGATTGGCCGCCCGCCTGCCTGGCCCTGCCTTTATAATTTCCACACGAGTGCATCTGGGCTCTTAGACAAACCAACAGCAGCTTCTTCTGACATATACACACGCACACTCACCCCGCCACACACCCAGCACACTTTTCCTCCATCTGATTAACAGTCCTGCACACACAATGATTACGGGAAAGCGTAAATAAATACGGAAAGGGGTGATTATTTTGACTACTGGAAGAGCTTTGCTGGGTCTCAGCGCAACTTTTGTTTTTATTACGGAGAAGGTGATCTCTCCATGCGTCTCTCTCACACGAGGATTCTTTAAAAGAGGAAGAGAGAGAGAGTGTGTGTGTGTGTTGGGGGGTGGGGTGGGGGGAGAACAATCTTTCAGACCGGCTGGGCTCGAAGGGAAAAGCAGCAGCAGCAGCAGCAGCAGCAGGGAAACCAGCGCTGCAGCACGTCGGAAAGACACTTTGGGTACATTTCTGAGCTCCGCGGCCCGTTTCTGCACCGAAGTTGGCTCCAGCTCTAGCAGCCGCATTGGATCCCACAGCTTACTGCGAGACTCCGGTGTACAATCCGGATCTCTGCCCCAACATGATCGCGGCGCAGGCCAAGCTGGTCTACCATCTGAATAAATACTACAATGAAAAATGCCAAGCCAGGAAAGCTGCCATTGCCAAAACGATCCGGGAAGTCTGCAAAGTAGTTTCCGACGTACTGAAGGAAGTGGAAGTGCAGGAGCCCCGGTTCATTAGCTCCCTCAACGAGATGGACAATCGCTACGAGGGCCTGGAGGTCATCTCCCCCACCGAATTTGAGGTGGTGCTTTATCTGAACCAAATGGGGGTGTTCAACTTCGTGGACGACGGCTCGCTGCCCGGCTGCGCGGTGCTGAAGTTGAGCGACGGGCGCAAAAGGAGCATGTCCCTCTGGGTGGAATTCATTACCGCCTCCGGCTATCTCTCGGCGCGCAAAATCCGGTCCAGATTTCAGACGCTGGTGGCTCAGGCGGTAGACAAATGTAGCTACAGGGATGTGGTAAAGATGGTGGCAGACACCAGCGAAGTGAAACTGAGAATCCGAGATAGGTACGTGGTGCAGATCACCCCGGCTTTTAAATGCACCGGGATCTGGCCGAGGAGTGCTGCCCACTGGCCACTTCCCCACATCCCCTGGCCGGGACCCAACCGGGTGGCGGAGGTCAAAGCGGAAGGGTTCAATCTCTTGTCCAAGGAGTGCCACTCCCTGGCCGGCAAGCAGAGCTCGGCCGAGAGCGACGCCTGGGTGCTGCAGTTCGCGGAAGCGGAGAACAGACTGCAGATGGGGGGTTGTAGAAAGAAATGCCTCTCCATCCTCAAAACCTTACGGGACCGGCACCTCGAACTGCCGGGCCAGCCCCTCAACAATTACCACATGAAGACTCTGGTTTCCTACGAGTGTGAAAAGCATCCCCGGGAGTCGGACTGGGACGAGTCTTGCCTGGGCGATCGGCTGAACGGGATTTTGCTGCAACTCATCTCCTGCCTGCAGTGCCGGCGGTGTCCCCACTACTTCCTACCGAACTTAGATCTGTTTCAAGGCAAACCTCACTCGGCTCTGGAAAACGCTGCCAAACAAACGTGGCGACTGGCAAGAGAGATCCTGACCAACCCGAAAAGTTTGGAAAAACTTTAGGGGATGATTTAATCAAGAGCTGAAATGATTACTCGTCTCAAAGTCCTAATTAAGTGTAAACTTCTTGTTCAATTACTATTTAATATTTCACTCGACAGCGCAAACAATCTCTTCCTTAAAAAGGAATAATAATACGACGTTTAGGCATCATCTCACCCACTCCTCCAAGGGGATTAAAACAAGTAGGGGAAGCAGATGGAGAAAAACCTAAACCCACAAATATTAGAAGACTTCTTTACAAACGATTTTTGTATCTCCCTTGAAAACTACACGGTAACACCCGGAAAACAGCTCGGCTGTAATGCAAGACCACAGCGAACACTCTCTCTGCTTAACTATCAAAGGATTATAGCAATCCTGGCGATTTAGGTGCATCTGTCTGTGAGTAAACACGATTTGGATATGCCATCAGAAGGAAAGTGTAATGTATATTTTGATTTGTAACAAATATTGTGATCTCACATTGTCTTTGAAAGTGTGGATGTTGGTGTTTTGTGATTTGGTGAACAGAAGTTAAATTGCCATTTTGGTTACTTCCAGACATTTTCCACTAACAAAAATACCATTTAAAGGTAGATTTCCTCCTGGTACTTTTATCTGTCATTCAAGTGTCTGACTTTAAAAAGTTTACATTTTGTTTCAAATATATTGCTTGTTCTATTTCTAACATTCCGTAAATATACTTGAAATGTTATTTAAATATATTCAAAGAAATTTGAGTTCAGCTTATATAATAATGCTTGAATACCTGAATTATATATTTGAAAAAATGCACTTGAAATACACTGGATACTTTTGTGATTTAGATTTTAATTTCTGTTGCTGGCTTTTATTTAATTAGAAGCTAATAAATGAAGTAAAATAAAAGTTGTTGTGTCTCATTTTAAATTGTTTTTCTATCAAAAGATGTAATGCTTTATTTTAAAAATCAAACCCACTGGAATATTTTAAGCATTTTGAAAAATATGCTAATGAAATTAAAAATAAAACCTTAAAATATTGGAGAAAATCTTTTTTTTTTTGTATAGCTATACTAGATAACGATCTATTCTCAGTTTCTAACTTTTTTATTAGACTTCCTTTCTATAAATTAGACACAATTTAAATTTTCCTTTGAAAGCTTGCTCTTCTGGTCAAGTATTTCTGTGGCATTGTTGATAATATAAGGAAAAAATCTATTATGACAGTAGAGATTACTGAATTAAAAATTAGACTAACACAGAGATGAACTTAACAAAGTCATAATAAAACTTTTGAAATTTGTATATGAAAACTAAGCTAATAAAATGAAGATCATTTCTTACCAATGTATTTGATGTGAAACCTTATTTTATGCAATAAGGGCTCTATTAGCAGAATAAATTAATCAGAAATCCGAAATTCTTTTTTACTTCATAGGGCAAGTTAATGATAAGAGCATAAAGACAAACTTTAAATTATTTAAAATAAAATACAGTGCATTCAAACATTTTAAAAGTTCACTGCTTATGGAGCTGGAAGTGAAAAAGTCCTGTGACTATCCTCTGGATTATTTTAATAGTCAACAAGTGCTGAAAGGGCTGATCACCTACTGGCCTTAAATTAGTTAATTTAGGTGATGGTAAATTTTAGAATTTCAATTGCTAGTCTACAAACACTTTTATAATGCTTTATTTCTGCATATAAATTAAATATTAAAAAGTTCTTGATATTTGGGAGTATTTGTCTTTGACTATTTTAGAATAACTGCCTGTGAAAACACTTTAAAGGGAGATCTTTGTAAAATGATGCTAAATATCTAGCATGATACTTAATGATCGTGGATTCTTAACCTTATGAAAAAAGCTTGCAAATTGCACAGTATCATGAAAGTTAAAATGGATCTCAGAAGAAGCTGCTGAGGTGCAGAGCTGTTCTAACACTCAGGTGTTTAAAATCTACACAATATTTAATAAATAAATATTTACTGCATTTCCAGTGGTCCAAATATGTATTTTCTGGCATTACCTCCAAAGACGAGTATGACCCTTAAACATCTGAGAGCTCGTATATACCATGTACACACATTTTAAGTCAAAGTTCTTAGAGAATCAGTTTCTCTTCCTCTTAAATCCACATGTAAAACCCATTCTCATTTTAGAAGGTGAAAAAATGGATGTGAAACAGAGATGAATTTATATCTAATTGTATCTCCTCCCCCGCCCCCAGTTCCCTTATAACGTTTCAGTAAATAATAATTCACATTGCAATCTAAACTTCTGGAAATTAAAAGTAATCTTAATAAGAAATTTCATAAGAGCCTTCTTAGTCTTTCCAGAGAGCCTGAGATGCTGTACTCAGGGGACTAGGGAGCAGTTGGCTTAACTACCAAATCTGCCCAAGCGCACACAAAGGCACTCATAGAAAGGTTTGTTAAGATGTGCATGCTCTGGCGATACAGGATTTAAACTCATTAATATATTCTTCAATTCCATAAAATAGAGCATGTGTTGGGATTTCATTCATTTTATTTTCCATGAGAGAGACTAGCGTGTTCCCCTCCCCCACTGTCATTTAAAACCAAGCAACACTGAAAACCACTTCCTGCCACAAAGCCACCAGTACTGTACAAGGAATCCCTTTAACTCACTTTTGTGTCGATCTTCTTGAAGGCGGGATCATCCTCATCTACCTCGAAGTATATTTCTGTCGTGGTGATGGAGAGAGTCCCTTTGGCCACCACCACGGGAGCGATGAGCTGGGCAGGGGTGCTGAGAACCACTGGGCCTGCAAGACAAGGGCAGGGGAGTCAGGCTGAGCCCCTGTGGCCCTCTCTCGCACCCTCCCAGGAGGGTACCAAGGGCTTTTATTTTAAAAGATGCACTAGAAAAAATGGTGCCTATATTAAGCGGTAAGCTCTTTTCCTGTGAGAAGGTCTGCTTAGCTTTTATGTACCTTTTAAAGACACTAGAGATAAATAATTCTATAAAAACCCAAGAGGTCACGATAGGCAATAAGCGACCCTTAAGCGAGTTTGCAACCTCTGCTTAGAAATCCTACGTGGCTGCTGAGGCGCTGCCATTAACCAAGTTAAAAGTGCAGAACGGACTCTCTACTGAGCATCACTGGCTTTCTGAGGGACCCTAGGCAGGCAGCACTGCCCCAAAGACCAGCCATCGCGTATAGCCTTTCCACTAGGCAGGGGCGCTCCCCAAGGAGAGGCGAGAGGATGCAAAGGGGGAAAGGATGTAAATATATAAATTACACTGTACTACGGGGCTGCATCTTGCAGGAAGAATAATGTCGTCGTCCTGAGGCGCGCCACATACACACACGGACTTTAAAGTTCTTACGTAGAGAAGAACAAAAACCTTAGTCATTTTCTCACAGTCAAAAGTGATGAAAACGTAAGAGGCTTGAACAAAAGGATTCTCAGAAAAGCGTCCAAAAAGTGCTATTTCTCAACTTTTGAACTAAAGGAACTAAGCTTCATTAAAAGATTTTTTAGAAAGTGTGCCTACTAGGGTATCACTTCGAATTCCCTCAATCGGAATTAAGGTTGAAAATCACGAGTTTCAAGTATTAGAATATTAATTCAAAGGGTATTACTTAAATGCTCCCTTAAGATCCCCCAAAGGACAGACATTCTTCGGGATCCTGGACTTAAAAGACGACGTGGAAATCGGTAATAACGTATTCATTCTTTCGGGTGGCGAGAGCGCATCATAAGCCCTTCCACTTCTCGCCTCAAATGCACACAGTCAAATGAGTCGCACTAACAGTATGAGAAAGGCAGGAAGCAGCCAGATCCCCGCGGCCGCGCCGAGCCTCGCCCGCGCCGCCACCGTGAGTGTCGTCCAGGCCCGGCGGGCGCCGAGGAGCGCGGTGAAGTTCGCGTTCTCTGCAGGACGCGCACACCGGATCTGCGACCGTCCTGCACAAAGCCAGGCCATGTCTGCGGCTGGAGGAACAGAGAGGACTCGGCCGGCTTCTGTCGCCCTTAAAGGGGGGTGGCTCTGGAGCAAACCGTGTCCGCCTTCGCCCCCCAGCCCCCCGCGTGACCGCCCTGATGGGACTTAACGCAAAGCCCTTTCTTTCACTTTACTGCTCTCCATCCCCGATGAGCCCCGGGGCTCGCGGACTCCCGGGCCTCGGTCTCGGGCGGGCTGTTGCCGCCGCGCAAGCGAGCGGAGTCGGGGTCCAGCTCGGCTGCACTAGGTTTTTCTTTCCAAAGGGCGAGGCGGTCGATCTGAAGCACCACTTTAAAGGCTCATCAATCTTAATCTAGGTTGCTCAAGTAATTATGCCCGAATCTCTTGTCCGATTACAAGTGGATTTGGGTTTCTATTCCCCAGGCCCTCCTTTGTGTTTATTGGAGGGTCTGTGCGCTCGGCGGCGCCTCCTGCCTCCCGCGCCCTCCTCTGAATCCCCCGTGCTCGGGCCGGTTCGAACCGCTCCCTTAACCCTTGAGCAACCAGGACGCTCGCTCCTTTGGATGCCACTTTTCCTATTTGCTCTCTGGAGAAATCCGTGCGGTTTACTTTTGATTGGGGAGAGGTGAGAAAGAAGGTGACCTGATTCACATGGGAAACAAAGTTGGGCCTTAATTAATATCTCAGAAAAGTCTCTAAATACAGAGGACTACAAATTTATGGTTTAATGGAGGTTTCTGGCACTTAGAGCTAAAGAATGGTCAAAACACTAAAAATAGCAAACCACTTCTTTTTCTTAAAAAGTAATTTAACATATCCAAACAATTGGGAAAATTGAAAAAAATTAAAACATTATCTAAACCATATTCACCGATTTACCTAAATATATTGATATTTTTAAGCACAGAACTCTGTGAACATTTTAAGGGGAACACATTTTCTCTACTTATTTCTTTGCATTTCGGAGGGAGACTTGATTCTCCATTACTTCAATTTCGTTCTAATGAGTTGAGATTTTCTGGGAGTTTTTAAAAGGGCTTTCGAACTGGTCCTTCGTTAAGAAAGACACATCGTGAAATATTCAGCCTTAACAGTGTGTCATTTTTACCCTTGTCCTTTGGAAATCTCCAATTACAACGTCCAATTCCATAGCATGTTTAAGGGGCACTGAATCTTCTTGTTGTAGCCTTCAGGGAGCAAACCAGCCACAGAGAGAATAGGAGTTAATCCGCTATAGCAATAGAGAGAGGGGATTATGTTTTAATCCCCTTTGGGGGAGCCTCTGGATTTTAGGGATCCCTTATTAAAATGTTTATGTAAGGCACAATCACAAACCAGCAGATCTTCCATATGGTATCTGGTTATTTGAAAACCTGGTATCCCTTTCCAAATAAAAATAGTTTTAAAAGAGCAGCATCTCTGGATGCTAGTGAGATGGTAATCTAGCTAATTCTGTTCTAGAAGATAATTTAAGTAATTACAAATTTAACCTCCTAAACTTTCCTTGGTGTAGTGAGTTGGGAACTGACTAAACATATTCATTCCAATCACTGTTATAGCAATAAAAGGAAAAATTATAATAACTTCCTCAGCACACACAGAAGTAATGAAATTAAAGGATAGTTAAACTAATGGGTGGCACAAAACATCTTCCCATTGTCTTGATGCATGCAATAATTTTAGAACCCCACCATCTAAAGTAGTAATAAAAAGAAAAAAAATAAATGGTACTTACTTTTTACAACTGGCAATATAATGTTTAAAAAAATATTGATCCATTACAATTTTTGAAAGAAGAGTGGGGGATATTACTTGCCATGAATTTAAATGTTAATTTAACATCTGAAATAGAACAAAGATCACCCAAGCATAATAAAAGGAATCTTTAAAAGAATGAACATTTCTTTAGAGCCATAAGATCTTTAATCAGTTGAGGTACCAAAACTCATCATGGACTTAGAGTAGAAAGTACACACGTTACACATGTTTCATATTTGAAAAGGGAACTATTCATCAAATGTATTTTGAAAGTAAAATGTTAAATACTTGTGGGTTTGGATTATTCTGCTGAAAATCAAAATCCCAAGCCTTGAAAACTTAACAATACATTGACATCTTAAAAAAAATTTATAGTTTACAAAATTCTTTTATATTTTTACTTTAATAGTCCAATATTCACAAATTTTGAGTATGATTGTGTCAATGTTCTCTTGCTAAAGATCACCAGGAAGACATCTGTAGTTGGACAAGTTGGGTTTATTGCTCAGTGTAATGAAGGAGACTGACAACCATGGGAACCATGGAAACCATGGGGCCACTTAAAAGGTAGAAGATTGTTGAAGGACTCATTGCAGGATCTGGGTTTTGGTTAAGTGATTTTGGGAAGGGTTCAAGGAAGCAGAGCTTTGCTCTGGATTGGGCTCTCTCAGGAAACAGGGATAATACTGTGATTGGGTATTTTAGTAAATCTTTATCTAGATGGAGGGAAGGTTAGATGGAAGTTAAAGCTGTAATTGGAAAGAAATAGTAGTCACTCATATTAGCCAGGAGAGGGTGATGTTTGGTATTTTTTGGGTGTGCATAGTGACCTTGTCTTTATTTGTGCTTATATAAAATTATAAAGTTGTTTTCTGTCTCACATCATCATCACAGGACCTTGTCTGTTGCTAGTATTCTGTGAGGTTGTTTATGTCCAACAAGAGGACACCATGGCCTAGCTGTGAGCTCCAGGCCAGCTCCTGATAATACCAAGGCCTAGATGTAGGTCAGGCTAGTTCCCAAAGGTTGGGGGCTGCTTTTTCTTAAGTGCAGGAATTAATCACTTTTTTAGGGGGGACAATAGTATTCTAGCTACTAAAAGGCAATTTTGGAAATTAAATTTTCAAACAATGCTAAGCTTCTCTCTACAAGTTTCAATATAAAGCATAGCAAAGAATATATACAGAGGAAAAAGAGTTGAAGTTTACTTAAAGTTGGTATTGTTAGAATTATTTGATGACTTTCACTGGCAAAAACTATATTTAGGACACATGAAATTACAATGTATTTTGGAACCATCTGAATATTTCCTAAACTTAGTTTAATATTAATAGAAGTTTTATTAGCTATATGGATTTTATCCAACCTCAATTACTTTCAAACCACATGAACAATTTGCTTTTAGAACATGTAACAGACCTTTATTTTGGGATAATAAAGATTGACTAATCTTGGTAAAATTATTAAACTTAAAATTCTCACATTATTTAGAAGAACTAAAACTAATCTGCTCAGTGTAAAAGAGTATTATTCCTCCCGAAAATTAAGACAAAAATATCCTTGGGGAGTGGATTTTTACAACTATTTCTGTAATGTGATAAAATTTGTAGGGAAATAACATAGGTTTAGTGACTTGAACATATCTAAAATATCTATCATTACTTTGTACTCATTATTTTTAAGTATGACACCATCAATTTAAAGAACATGTTTCCCCCATAGGATTAAAGGAATATGATGCTTTAATCTCAAAAAAACTTTGAATAAATTACTGAAGAATACGATAAAGTTGGAACTTTTGTTTTGGAATCCTAGGAAACCTTTAGGCATTAAGAAAATGGAGGTGTTCATTTATGTGCCTCATGGAGAGGGAAGTTCTTAGAAAAATGCTACTTAACATCTTAGATATCTACAATCCAGGATAGTTTCCTGGGTTTCAGGCATTTGAAATGCCTCAAGGAAAAAAAGCTGTTTTCTGTATGTACAGACAATATTGATAGTTGTCCAAAGAAATTATCAAAATAACAATCCTGTGAAATTTTCAAAAACTTTTCTTGAGTGGAAGTAGTTACAGATGTTTTTGTTTGAATCAGAAAA